ATCAGAATTGATCAGAGCCTAGCACTGAGGAAGGAATCAGAAATGAGCAGAATTGATCAGAGCCTAGCACTGAGGTAGGAATCAGAAATAATCAGAATTGATGAGAGCCTAGCACTTAGGTAGGAATCAGAAATGATCAGAATTGATGAGAGCCTAGCACCGAGGTGGCAATCAGAAATGATCAGAATTGATCAGAGCCTAGCACGGAGGTAGGAATCAGAACTGATCAGAGCCTAGCACGGAGATAGAAATCAGAAATAAACAGAATTGATGAGAGCCTAGCACTGAGGTGGCAATCAGAAATGATCAGAATTGATCAGAGCCTAGCACGGAGGTAGGAATCAGAATCGATCACAGCCTAGCACTGAGGTAGGAATCAGAAATGATCAGAACTGATCAGACACTAGAACTGAGGTAGGAATCAAAACTAATCCGAAATGATCAGAGCCTAGCACTGAGGTAGGATTCAGAATTGATCAGAGCCTAGTACCGAGGTAGGAATCAGAACCGATTCAAATTGATCAGAGCCTAGCACTGAAGTAGGAATCGGAAATGAGCAGAATTGATCAGAGCCTAGCACTGAGGTAGGATTCAGAATAGATCAGAGACTAGCACTGAGGTAGGAATCAGAACTGATCAGAATTGATCAGAGCCTAGCACGGAGATAGGAATCAGAAATAATCAGAATTGATGAGAGCCTAGCACTGAGGTGGCGATCAGAAATGATCAGAATTGATCACAGCCTAGCACGGGCGTAGGAATCAGAAATGTGCAGAATTGATCAGAGCCGAGCACAGAGGTAGGAATCAGAAATGATTAGAACTGATCAGTGCGTAGCACTGAAGTAGGAATCAGAACTGATCAGAATTGATGTGAGACTAGCACTGAGGTGGCAATCAGAAATGATCAGAATTGATCAGAGCCTAGCACGGAGGTAGGAATCAGAATTGATCAGAGCCTAGCACGGAGACAGGAATCGGAAATAATCAGAATTGATGAGAGCCTAGCACTGAGGTAGGAATCAGAATTGATGAGAGCCTAGCACTGAGGTAGGAATCAGAACTGATCAGAAGTGATGAGAGCCTAGTATTTAGGTAGGAATCAGAAATGATCAGAATTGATCAGAGCCTAGCACCGAGGTGGCAATCAGAAATGATCAGAATTGATCAGAGCCTAGCACTGAGGTAGGAATCACAAATGATCAGAATTAAGCAGAGCCTAGCACTGAGGTAGGAATCACAAATGATCAGAATTGATCAGAGACTAGCACTGAGGTAGGAATCAGATATGATCGGAATTGATCGGAGCCTCGCACTGAGCTAGGAATCAGAAATGAACAGAATTGAGCAGAGCCTAGCACTGAGGTAGGAATCAGAAATGATCAGAATTGAGCAGAACCTAGCACTGAGGTAGGAATCAGAACTGATCAGAATTGAGCAGAACCTAGCACTGAGTTAGGAATCAAAAATGATCAGAACTGATCAGAGCCTAGCAGTGAGGTAGGAATCAGAAATAATCAGAACTGATCAGAGCCTAGCACTGAGGAAGGAATCAGAAATGATGAGAATTGATGAGAGCCTAGCACGGAGGTAGGAATCAGAAATGACCAGAACTGATGAGAGCCTAGCACCGAGGTGGCAATCAGTAATGATCAGAACTGATCAGAGCCTAGCACCGAGGTGGTAATCAGAAATGACCAGAATTGATCAGAGCCTAGCACTGAGGTAGGAATCAGAAATCATCAGAATTGATCAGAGCCTAGCGCTGAGGTAGGAATCAGAATTGATCAGAGCCTAGCACTGAAGTAGGAATCAGTAATGAGCAGAATTCATCACAGCCTAGCACTGAGGTAGGATTCAGAATTGATCAGAGCCTAGCACTGATGTAGGCATCAGAATTGATCAGAGCCTAGCAGTGAGGTGGCAATCAGAAATGATCAGAATTGATCAGAGCCTAGAACTGAGGTAGGAATCAGAATTGATCAGAGCCCAGCACTGAGGTAGGAATCAGAACTGATCAGAATTGATCAGAGCCTAGCAATGAGGTGGCAATCAGAAATGATCAGATTGAACAGAGCCTAGCACTGACGTTGGAATCAGAAATGATCAGAATTGAACAGAGCCTAGCACAGAGGTAGGAATCAGAATTGATCAGAGCCTAGCACGGAGGTAGGAATCAGAAATGAGCAGAATTGATCAGAGCCTAGCACTGAGGTAGGAATCAGAAATCATCAGAATTGATCAGAGTCTAGCACTTAGGTAGGAATCAGAAATGATCAGAACTGATCAGAGCCTAGCAGGGAAGTAGGACTCAGAAATGAGCAGAACTGATCAGAGCCTAGCAGGGAGGTAGGAATCAGAAACGAGCAGAATTGATCAGAGCCTAGCACTGAAGTTGCAATCAGAAATGATCAGAATTGATCAGAGTCTAGCACTTATGTAGGAATCAGAAATGATCAGAATTGTTCAGAGCCTAGCACTGAAGTAGGACTAAGAAATCAGCAGAACTGATCAGAGCCTAGCACTGAGGTAGGAATCACAAATGATCAGAACTGATCAGAGCCTAGCACTTAGGTAGGAATCACAAATGATCAGAATTGATCAGAGACTAGCACTGAGGTAGGAATTGGAATTGATTGGAGCCTAGTACTGAGGTAGGTATCAGAAATGAGCAGAATTGATCAGAGCCTCGCACTGAGCTAGGAATCAGAAATGAACAGAACTGATCAGAGCCGAGCACTGAGGTAGGAATTAGAAATGATCAGAATTGATCAGATCTTAGCACTGAGGTATGAATCAGAAATCATCAGAATTGATCACAGCCTAGCACTGAGGTAGGAATCAGAAATGATCAGAATTGATCAGATTGTAGCACTGAGGTAGGAATCAGAACTGCTCAGAATTGAGCAGAGCCTAGCATGGAGATAGGAATCAGAAATAATCAGAATTGTTGAGAGCCTAGCACTGAGGTGGCAATCAGAAATGAGCAGAATTGATCAGAGCCTAGCACTGAGGTAGGAATCAGAAATGATCAGAACTGATCAGTGCGTAGCACTGAAGTAGGAATCAGAACTGATCAGAACTGATGAGAGACTAGCACTGAGGTAGGAATCAGAAATGATCAGAATTAATCGGAGCCTAGCACGGAGGTTGGAATCAGAAATGATCAGAATTGATGACAGCCTAGCACTGAGGTAGGAATCAGAAATGACCAGAATTGATGAGAGCCTAGCACTGAGGTAGGAATCAGAAATGATCAGAATT